GGTGGTAATAGTTAAATTTCAATGATTCTATATTACAATTATTGTAAATGTCTTTTTAATTAAAAAAAAAAAAATCAACTTATTTAGGTTTTAGTTTGTTTTAGCAGTCCACAGTTTTTAAAAATCAAAATGTGTTTTTCTTTCATACTGCGAACGTTTGGTCTATGTTTTCTACTCTAAAGATCTACATATGAAGTCCGCAAACTAATTACCTTTTTCCTTTGAAAAAAAAAAAACATCACCTAAGTCAAGTCATGAATACGATAATAAAATATCTAAAATTTCTAGTTTCGGTGTTGTGCCATTAAGGACTTGATGGGTTAAGGAACTAGTTACCCAAAAATACAAATGTGCTGCTGTAGATGCCATAGTCTATCATGATCCTTGAAAAATCATAACTCAGTCATGGATTTGTTTTAGTTGAAAATAGTGCACAATGTTTGGTATTGAGTCTCAGTTCATTAGTTTTTGCTAAAAGCTGGAAACGTCTTTAACTAGGGTGACAATTGTGACTTTCACCGAGTAGTTTGGATTTAGCTGCCATGACATGTTGCTTTTCATAATTTATAATAAATTGTAAAAAAAATCATATAAACTTGTGCAAGTAGTACCTGGAAAGCTAAAAGACAGAAATATTGGACTATAAATTTGGATTGTAGTTTTGAGACATTTTAGTGAAGTTAAAGTGGTCTTGAACAGACTGTTATTTTTGGATTGTTTTTTGGGAAATTAAGTCAAAGGACGTATAATTGTGTTAAGGACTTAGGAGTCGATATTAATCAACTTTTAATGATATTATAGGGAATTTGTGAGGTTTCGTGATTTCATTTTTATCCTAGAGTTTACTTAAAGTTCACATTGCATATTGAGGTAAGTTTCTCACTACATTGTATGTATGTTGTACATCATTTACTTTAGCTCGTGTGTCCTCATAGGATGTATGTGGGTAGTGTTAGGCTATGGTATGTATGTATTAGGGATATCCTCTCAATGTACCAAGTCATATGCATACAGTATGTACTCAACGTACCGAGAGATACAATATTCGCTCAAAGTACCGAGAAATACGTATTATAGGGCTCAACAAACTGAGCAAGATGGGAGGGATCGATATATTGAGCAGGGGGATCGACCTTTAGCTGACGTGTCCCAAATTAGTATATACTTTTTTCTGATTTCTTATTATACTTGCATGAGTGGTTATGCGGTTATTTGCTATTTGCATCCATATGATTAGGGTAGAGTATGTGTAATGTTATGCTATATATGTGTTGAAATTCACTAAGATTTGTGTTTACCCTTTCACTTAAAACTACTATTTTAGGATTGTTAGGTACAAAAGATGGCAATGCATGACCGTATACATTGGTTCAGTTTATTTTGATGGAGTTTTATGATACATTGGATTATGTTCCCGTTTGATTTTAGAATTTATAACCTACAAAAGGACATGTTGTCTTATGTTTTATCTTAGGGGTTGCTTTAAACTTTTTCTATAATAAAAGTTATGGGTTTGAATTTGATATATATTGTTTTTAAAAGTTAAAATTTATTACAGTGTTTGGGACATTACAACAAATTGGTAGCAACTATAGTTGGTATAGTACACAATTTGAGGAAAAATAATAAATCAGTATTGGACCATATTCATGCCGAATACATACACACATTTATTTGGTACGGTACACAATTTAATGGAAGAATATGCTCTCTCTCTCTCTCTATTTTTTTTCTCTCTATCTATCTATCTATCTATCTATCTATCTATATATATATATATATATATATATATATATATATATATATATATATATATATATATATATATATATATATATATATATATATATATATATATATATATATATATATATATATATATCTCACAAACTTTGAATATCGAAACACCAGTTTTCTCATCTTCATTTTAGTGTTTTCATTAATGGATCATTAAATGAGTTTTTTTGATAATTTTAAAATGATGAGCCATGAACACGCGACTTAATGTAAACGTGTACTGTTTTATGTATAAAAAAGTTGAAATTTTTTGGATGTACTTTATGTTGAAGAATTGGGTGTTACAAATATACACATAATGTCAATTCCATAATATGAACCATTTTTAAGCCAAACTTGTAAAACCCTTGAAAAACTAGCAAATCGGTCAGCACCGATTTTTCTTTTATCCCCTCTAAGGATCATAATGTACCTCAAGATAGAATATGTTTCATCCATTGATCCGATACTTCACTTCCAAGATTTACAACCTTGTCTGAGCCTTGTTCTTAAGGTACAACCCGTCCTTATGAAATAAATCCCATATTGAGATATTCTAATAGATACCGAATTGGAGGTACCGTCCCTGTAGTGCCTTAAAGTCTATAGACAATTCCGTTGAAATCAATCATGCAAGCCAATAAACCAATAACATATACTACATGAAAAAAATTACAGAGTATCATTATGCCATTTAACTCTAAACATTTAACCACATAAAACACTTTTAAGAATTCAAATAAATGATATGTTCCCGCAAATGGAAAACACCACAATGTGTAGCTAGGTATGTCTAGCTACAATATTAATTTATTACAATGTTAATAAGTACAATATAATAAGTAATTTATTACTTAGCTAGCTCTTGATTATGTTTATTCCAAAATACTCTTTAGTCTCTATACAATATTAATTTATTACAATATTAATAAGTAATCATAATATCACAATTCTACTTGCCCATATACAATTTTCATATTATGTATCATACATGTGCAACAAGTCTTTAATTGTTTATTTAACCAAATTTCCCAATACTTTTCTTCATATACAATGTTGTTTTCATATTTTTACTAACTAATGACACTTGAACAATACATATAACTTTTTTCACAACTTAATTTCCTAACAACGTTTTAATACTCTTTATTCAAATTACCACTTCAAAACCAATTATATTTGCATATTTTTAACTATTTTATAAATAAGATGAACTCATTTGCTTCATAATTTGTTTTACCATCTTGACATTTAGTTCATAAACACTTGACCAAACAATTATGTTCAACACATGTTATTTCTTGTGAATAACATGTTTATATAAATCCTATTATCATTATTTAATTCGGACTTGATTCTTGTTTGAATTCTCTCACACACACACTACACCATGAAATATGTGTTCTAGAGAGGTTTTCGGGTTAAAATGGTGATACTCGGAGAGAGTAAAGAATTTTGTAGAAAATTTTCATGGATTGACCCCTTCTCACATGCCACCACATGCCGGTCAGCATTTTGGGCAAAGGGCTTGATGCGGGTTGTGTGATCTTAGGCCTCGTTCGCGTTAGTTGAACAAGTTAAACCCCCATTATTGAGTCATTCCATGTCTTAGTCGATTTTCTTGATATCTCATATTTTCTTCAATTTTTGTAAATGCCTTAATTTCTTTGGTCAAATTCCGTTTTCTATGATCCTTATATTGTTTTAAATCTTATCACAAGTTCTACAATTTCTCTTTAGTGTTCTTTAGCCTAATGTTTCCTTTTTGAATTATTAAGCTATCAACACAGGTCTATATCTATTTTTGCGAGTTTAATGTTTTGAACTAGACATTTTAAATCAACCTAATTTCTTCGTTCAATGTACAATTGTCCTAAATCTTTTTTCCTATAGTTTCATTGATATAGTATCTAAAACCTTCATTTATTGAGTTCCTTTTAAATCATAGTAATACTTGAGTTATTAAACTTTAAAGATGATACCTTGGAATTCTATAATATCTAGTCAACGAATATTTATTTCAACTTTGCAAACTTATAATTTGCTCACTCAATTGGTAAGATTCTTTTTACCTTAGATTTTTATATTGTTTACTTAAATATTTCTTTTATAAATTCCCAAACTCCACATTTCTTATTTTCCAATAGTGGTTCCAAACATATTCATACATCATTTTATGAAAAATCTAATTATCACATTACTTTCAATTTTATAAGATCTACTTTTGTTTGGGGGTGAATCATCATTATTGTGAAAACAATGGCAGGAAGAATAATTGTATATTTGTATTATTATGTTTTACATTTGACAATCAAACAATTTGATGATAAATAGTATGAAATAACATCAAACCGTTATTGCTATCAAAACCAAACGAGTAGATAATTAATATTAATGATTAATTATCTAATCATTTTTAGACAAAATAATACTTAAAAGTTGAATCGTCACAAATAATAAATCAGATTATTATTATCACGTTACAAAGTTCGTTCAGAAATAAGATAAATCTTTCCTAATATAACCAGTTTTAAGAAGGGTGGAATGAGACTATCATGTTATCGAGCAAATTAAATGATTGAACGAAGGAAGTATAACCAATATAAAGATCGCAAATTCTTAACTAAGAACGCATAGAAGAACTATTGTCCTAAAAGGGTTTTACGGCACACTATGGTCGTAAACATCAACATGAATACCAAATATTTATTTGAGATTACGGTTCTTTCACTAGCTTTGGAAGAGACAAAAAATAAAATGAAATCTTGAAAACACGGAAGAAAAGACAATATGAAAATAGCATTCTTCGCAAAGACATAAAAAGAGATATTGAAACTTTTTGGTGTAGAATAGAAAAAACATCATAAATGGTTCCTGTGGTTTCCTAAAACCTGAAGTTTAGTCCTTGTGGTTTCAAAATCTCATAAATGGTCCCTATGTTTTCAAAACTTTTGACGATTGGTCCTTACTGCTAACTCCGTTAAGTTTTGTCCGTTAACTGAAGGGCATTTTCGTCATTTCACTACCACAGGGATCATTTATGATGTTTTCTCATATTTTAAAAATAAATAAATAAATAAATATAATTAAATATATATTAAAGGTTTCTCTCTCTCTCTCTCTCTCTCTCTCTCTCTCTCTCTCTCTCTCTCTTTTCTCTCTCTCTCTCTCTCTCATGTTTGCTTTTTAATACCCAAAGACACATTTCACTGCCATTATCTTCTTCAACACCACTTCTTCAAAACCCAACTCATATCAGCTCGTTGCCACCATTCTTCCTTCCAGCCATAAACACCACGATAACAAATCCAAATCGCTTTACCTCTGCCTCTTTCCTTCGCTTCAAATTTCTCTTCGGCGGTCTTCCTCCGTTCATTATGCTCGTCAAGAACATGCTCTAGAAACCGATCGAATTTCTTACTCACAGTCTTCATCCTCTTCACATACCCCTGTAAATCCATGAAATCGATCCACGATATTGAATCACTGATGTTAAAAACACCGTTCAACAGAAAAAACTCGTCCAACATCTTCTTGAACTCATCCGGGCTCATCACCTAGTTCGAGTCTTTGTCCAAATACCTTTTCCCTAAAACCATCTGGCTAATCACGTTTAAGCTCACCGTCGATAGTAGATCCTTCAACAGGATCTCCTCGCCAGCTGTTACAAAAGTGGATTTCACCAGTGAATTCGTCTCCTCCACTCGGATGTACTCGTATGATTCGAGGCGCTTAACCCAAAATGTACTCTCAGCTTCCGGATCATCAATCAACGTGCAGATTTCGCGTTTGGGTTATTGACAGGCGGATTAGAAACTATGTGACAACTTTGAATTCACTTGTGATTTGTTAAATTCTGCAATCTATGTGACTAATCAGTAATTGGGTTTTCTGAATTACAGCTGAAATTGGTTGCGATTTCTGATCCTATATCTAAACTGGATATGAATCGATTTCTTATCTGAAATGTATGCCTAAACTCGATCTGAATCATAAACGAAAACTACTCCTTTCTCCACTATAAAACTCCCTCCAGGGAAGATGTATCCAATTCTAATCTGGCCATCGAACTTGATTTGCATAGCAGGTGTATGTATCAGACTTTCAGAAGGAATGTGTTGTTATGGTACCTGTTAGAAAATGATGAAATATGTATGTTTTGCTTAGGTTGGTTTTTAGATGAAGATGAAGACGGAGAGGCTGGAATGATTTTTAGGGGCTAACTCAATAATAAACCCAGATTTTGTGTAAGGTTTTTGTTACGGGGATGTTTTTTAGGCGGGAGAGAGAGAGACACAGAGAGAGAGAAGACTTTTATATTAAAAAAATATTTTTTATTTATTTTTAAATACGAGAAAACATCATAAATAGTCCCTGTGGTGGTGAAATGATGAAAATACCCTTCAGTTAACGGATAAATTTAACGGAGTTAGCAAAAAGGACCAAACATCAAAAGTTTTGAAAACACAGGGACCATCTATGAGGTTTTTAAACCACGGGGACTAAACTTCAGATTTTGGAAAACCATAGGGACCATTTATGATGTTTTTTCTGTAGAATAAATAGGATGTATGCATACTATATTGGGGATTTTAATAGGTTCCCGATGCTTGTGTATAAAGTCAACATGTATCAATTCCGATGCGTCGTGCGAAGTGCAGAGTTTGTCTAAATTAAGACACTTCGTGAACCTCGCGTCTTAAATAGAAAACCTGACAAAGCGGACATGTGAGCTTAGTCCATCCTTTAACTGCGATTAAAGTCTTTAAGTGTTAAGGTTAATAGAGAAGGTTAATATCATAAAAACCTTTAAGTTTTCAACAAAATATTCGATTTTACCCTTTGGCATTTTTTGGGTTCACTAAAGCCGAAGCTTTGCATTAAATTTTCATTTTTTCCATTTTAACAGGTTACCCGATGATAAACAAGTCACCTAAACGTGACTTGAAAAGTTAATTAAGGGTAAAACCAAATATATTTTTTTTTGAAAACTTATGTTTTTATGACATGATCCCAAAAATATGTAAAAATGTTTTAATACATTAACGTATTTTTATAAGTGCTTCATTTAAACGTATTCGTGGGAAAGTATGTGAGCCTAAAGGCTCGAACCCATGACCATTGTTGGAGGAAGCCAACGCCCTGTTAGGTCTATATTGATTGTGAGAAGTCAAATTGGTAGTTATCTTTAGGCGCAATGTTGTAGATAGTAAAGGTCCACGTGACTTAGCTATCTTAACATATTTACTAGGCATCTATGAGTTTTGTACTGTCATGTATAGTCTTAGTATTTTTTTGATTCTGTGAGTATCCTATAAATATGATAATTACTTGGAGGGTAGAGTATCTAGCTTTCGCATTAGACTTTTATTGTACTCAAACTTTATGCTCATTCAGAATAAACATATTGAAACCATATCTTATTTTGATCAACTTGTTCTATTCTATTTTCTTAATCGATAGACTTAATCACATTTCTTCCCCTACCAGTACACCAACATGCTTTTTTGGTTTTTACCTTCTACATAAAAAAAATATCGTATTTATATAAATACGACTAAAAATATATAAAAACATTTTTATATGTATTTACACACACATATATATATATATATATATATATATATATATATATATATATATATATATATATATATATATATATATATATATATATATTTATCGAATCTTTATATAAGCAATATCTATAAAAATGTCCTTATATGTATAAAATTATTTTTTTAAAAGCATATTTAAATGTATACAAACATATTTAAATACATAGAAAATGTTTTTATACAAATTTCTTATTCAACATATTTATATATACACATTACATATAAAAATATGTTTATACATATTTATGAATATAAAAAATATTTAAAGGTGTAAAAAAACCTATTTTAAAATTATAAATATGTTTAAAAGGTATAAAAAAAAAATTGTACAATTAAATTTATTTATAAGTACTTTGTACATTTACAACATATTTATATTTTTAACAATATATTTTTATATCTATAGATACGGTTTTATATATTTAAATTCATATAATAACGTTTTATACATATTTTAAACATAGAGATATGATAAATATTTTTAAAATAAACTTAAATATATATATTAATATGTTTTTTATATAGTTAAATACATGTAAAAATCTTGTTATATAATTTTTGGCTAATGTTATAAAAGCTCTTGCATTTTTCAAAAATATTTGGTATATTCTTAAGTTTTCAAACCATGTGTAGCAACTTGTTGGTAATCAGCTAAAAAGGTAAAAGTGAAAATTTTTACGCAAAGTTTCTGCTTTTATAAACCAAAAAAATCCCACAAAATAAACCGAATATTTATTATTGAAAACTTAAAGTGTTTTATGAAATTAGCCATAATAAAAACCTTATAAACTTTTTTCAAGTTTTTCCACCTACTTGTACGGGACAAATTACACAAATGGTCAACTTGCAATATACCCTTTTTTAAACTTCCAACATGTATTCCTCATTTTTCCAAAAAGATTTTTTTTTTCATCCTAAAAATATTTTTGCTTAAAATAAAATGTATAAGACCAGAAAAAGTCAATGAGTTTATTTGTATAAGATTGTCTTATTTTGTTTGTACTTTTCCTCTAGGTATCCTGATCTTCCTATCTCTATCGAAATCTCCATGAAAGTAACATTAATATATTTTATTAATTACATGTGATAATGATTTTAAAACAACAAATTAATTACATGTGATGATGATTTTAAAACAACAAACAAATGAACGTGATAAACTAATTTACTTTTAAATTAACACATATGTCTCCAACGAGACTTAGACTTATGAACTCTTAATTGAAAGAGTCGTTCTTTACCGTTAGACCAAAGACCATTTGGTCAATAATATTGGTTGATCACTTATGTTTATTCACGAGATATGATCACATCATTAGCATTATATTATAAGATTTTATCTGATAATCTAATTATGTATAAAGCAGATCACCAAATTGAAGAAAGTTTTACACAGACGTAACAGTTAAACAAGCAACAAGTTGTGTCGTAATCCCTTTTTGGCTAACAAAACTAATTCTATTAAAAACAATATTCATACATCTTGAGGTCATAGCATTAATATGCATGACCTGTTGGAACTTATTGAGGAGCTCAAGGAAACCGAAAGTATCAAATGCAAAAATATAGATTGTGTTGATTTTTCATACACGTTTTATCATATTTTACTACTTTATATGATGCATGTTTTAAACAGTTTGTGACATGGTAAAAATTTCAATCCCTAAACCCATAAGAGGGGAACCCTATTGTTGCAATATTATGATATGAGCTAGTGCTCTTTGTATTATATAAAAATGCCCGATTGTATATATCTATCGTATTTTTACAACTTGTTGAATAAGTTTTGGTTGAATTTTTATATTATCCTTACGGCAATGAAATCTTCTTGTGATCGATCGAGATTCAAGACGATACAAAATTTTCTGTTGAATTCTTTTTTTGTGTCGCAACAAGTAAATATAGTGAAACCATCATATTGCTACAAATATACCAATATTTACAAATATATCAAATATTTAATTGGATATAATAGAATAAAAGAGTTGAAAACCGAATCAATGATGCAAGAACATGAACCACGTGCCATGTATACTAAATATATGTGTTACTTTCATCGACCCCTTACCTCCATCAACCATCAATATTAAACTTGAAATTATTAGAACATTAAATGTATATAAATAGTTTAAAATTATTTGAACATTAAATATATATAAATAGTTTAATAGTGTTAGGTTAAAGCAAGGGTGTCAATCAAGGACACTACATGACATAAATAGATGATACAAAACGAAATTAAGATGAAATCAAAATTTGTATATGTGTTCATTGTCATTTTCATGTCAAGTGTAACAAACACAACGTCGTGTCGTCGTGTCGTGTTGTGTTTGTATTCAAAATTCGACACGAAATTGAAACTGTAACGCATGGGTTTCCAGGCTAGGCATTATCAATTATGTAATAGTCTAGGTTAACCCTTGTAACTCTTTTTGAAGTATTAATGATTGAATATTTGAGTATTATGTGAATTATGTGTTTATTTTCTTAACTATTATAATTTAATAAATTAAGAATAAAATAAGCGTCAAAATTAAAGTATGAGATAAGTCTGATATGTTTGCACGAAGATGTAGTGGTTGAAACAAGGATTCTGAAGATATAAAGAATGCCAAAATCCAATATATAACGAAGAAGTTATAACATGTCGAAGTTTCGCGACAGAAGCGGCGATGCTGAATGATGTAAAAAGTGAAATTTACGTTAGAGAGATATTTAGCCTTATTGATCTAAACAAAAGTCGTAGAGTTCGTTAAACCGAGAGCGCACATAAAAAAAGCCCAAATTTTGACTTCGTAGTATGCAGCCCAAATACTCGAAGATCTCGTTAATAGTAGTGAAACGATAAAAAGACAGACAAAAACGGACGTCAGATGAAGAAGTTATGAATTTATAACGGAGTTTTCCTATCCCAGCCTACTAAAAATAAATAATAA